TTTCTAAGCATCGATGGAAAAATTTACATTTATATTGTGCATGTTATGTATAAGTTTGCAAGTTGTGATTTATGCATTATAAATATTTTGAGCATATGAAAACCCGTGAACTCACCAATTCTTTGTAGTTGACGTCGTTTTATGTTTCATGTTTTTCAGGAAATTAAGTAAAAATGGAAGTTTTGGAAGTTCTTATGCGATAACACCTGTTCACAAATTTTTAGAATTCTCATTTTGTACTAAATGTTGTTTTTATCATGAACAGTAGAAAATTTGAATTTGAAATTTTCCATGGATTATGTAATCTAATGGTGTTATCTATCGATTGGAGCTATGAAGTACATACCTGTTGTGCCTCGTGTTTCCGCTTTAGCGGGGTGTTACAGATTTGGTATCAGAGCCTCGGTTATAGAGAACACCGGTTTTTCCTAAAAACCATAAATTATAACCCAACGTTTCAAAACAATGTTACTGAGTATAACCAGAGGATGAATATTGTGTTATTATACTTAAATTAAATAGAGCTTGATCACCTATGTTTGACTTAAGTATTGTGATAAAAGATTTCCAATAGGTTGTGTTGGAACTGTGCTCAAATTTAGAGAATTTATCTAAAACATGAAAGGCATGATTGTGTGTGTTTGCATCAATTTTGAATATCCATCGCCCTAGACTAATCAGAAGATCTGGTTGTGAAGTGAAGAAAATTATATAGAGTACTAAGACAACCCAAGGGTCAACTCTGTATATGAATACTTGGTAGTTAGACATAGATAAAAGGCTTAGTCTCTATAACCTCTGTATTCAAAAGTTCACACTATGCATTAGGTAAGATATGCCTAGACATAGGAAGTGAACTTTGCATTCTAGTTTTGATTAAGGACCACTATTGTATAAAAATGAGGAGCGTCCAGAAGCTCTGGTTGGCTTGACCTTTAGAGCCAGAAGCTCTGGTTAGAGGAACCAGAGGCTATGGTCCACTAAAGGAAGATATGTATCAAGTCTGTATGAGGAACCAAAGATCGATGGAAGGTGATCCATCGGTTTGCCAAGTAAGAGGAACCAGAGATTTGATGGAAGGTAATCCATTGGTTTGCCAAGTAAGAGGAATCAGAGATCGATGGAAGGTGATCCATTGGTTTGCCAAGTATGAGGAACCAGAGATCGATGGAAAAGTGATCTATCGGTTCGCTAAGTTATGAAAAACCAGAGGCCGATGATTAGAAATCCCTTACATAACTAAGTGGATGTTGAACCAGAGGTCGATGAGCTAATAGTTAAATATTGTTCCAAGCATAGGAACTCCAACCAGAAGCTCTGGTAATACAACCAGAGGCTCTGGTCATCCAGAAGCTCTAATTTGTTTTCTATCCTTTGCTTCTACATAGTGTCTCTCGTCTTAACCTTAAGAGTTTCATTGATGATGTGTCTAGTAATTAAGTTTGCCAAAATTACAGATCACTATGTCATCATCTAGTGAATATTCAGCGGACGAATCTGGTTTCGCGATTGGTGGATCTAGAAGGAATATATTAATCAATGAGGATGTTGACCCATATGATCTTGAGGACTCAGCGACTAGCGAGACACCTGCTTTACCACCTACATCAGTGTTACCTCCATCGGAGCCAGTGCATGACATTCTGCCTCAAACGTTTCATGGCCCAAGGATTAGGGTCACGGCCAGGAAAAGTGTATCACTACCTCGAAGGGTGACTTTCGAGAACTCTAGTAGAACCAGAGGAGAGGCATCCCAAACTCAACCTGGGAGCAGAGATTCACAAGTGGTGACTGGAGTACCTGCATCTTACACCCAGGGCATGACTATGGATGAACGAGAATGGGTGCGGAGAATTGCAGTAGAAACTCAAACTCATCAGACCCAGCTGGGATATCACCACTACATCTTGAATAACCTGTTCGATGTAATAGAGATGCATCACCAGCGTATGATGAGAAACTCGGATGTTGT